TCTGTACTCCGTACTGTATCATTTGGTCTTTCATGGCTTCTTTCGATCTTGCTATGTTCTAGCACACCTATCTACGGAGAGTGCCACAGTCTGTACTCCGTACTGTGTCATTTGGTCTTTCATGGCTTCTTTCAATAGGTGTTCTAGCACACCTATCTACTTTTTATATCAACTGATACATCAGCTACATATAAAGCAGTTCAGCATTTCCACATGAACACATGAAGCTACTTTATAGAATCATAGATTTGGAAGGGACCTCCAGGGTTATCTAGTCCAACTCCCTGCACAATGCAGGAAATTCACAAATACCTCCCCCAAACATACACACCCAGTGACCCCTGCTCCATGCCCAGAAGATGGCAAAAAAGCCCTCCAGAATCCCTGGCCAAACTGGCCTGACCCCAAAGTAGCAATCAGCTACTTTGGGTGTGTAAGAAAGGGACACAAGAAACTAAGCACTGATGCGGCCATTCCTGCCCTCCCTATCATGATCTGCCTAAGTTCACAGAATCAGCATTGCTGTCAGATGGCCATCTAGCCTCTGTTTTAAAAAAAGAACCAAAGAAGGAGAGCCCACCACCTCCCGATGAAGCCTGTTCCACTAAGGAACCGCTCCAACTGTCAGGAAGTTCTTCCTAATGTTTGGCCAAAAACTCTTTTGATTTATACCAAGTCAGATCACTGGACTCTAGCAAGGTCTACTGTGTGCTCTAACTGGATCTCCGGGATCTCAGGCAGACATCTTTCACACTACCAACTACATGATCTCCTTTAAAAGAAAATGGAAAAGCCAGGGATTGAACCTGGGACATCCACAGGTAAAACAAATGCTCTCACTGAGCCACAGCCCTACCCTCAAATGGTGCATGTGCGTGCATGCATGAGAGCACACCCTCTGGGCAACACACACACAGCGCCCCAGAAACAGTCAGTAAAACCCAACAATAAAGGATCCACGCTGGCCCTCAGGTTCAAGAGACCACAGATGCGATTCTCTTACCACAACTGGTGTTTGAGGAGACCTGAGGTTTACACTTCTACCAAGACAGTAATTCTGAAAGTGCCACATTCTCTGATTTGGACATGCAGTATAAACCCTGCAACCTCAGTTCAAAAGCGAGACACATTTAAAAATATTTGTTGTTGTTCAGTCGCAGTCGAGTCCGACTCTTCGCGACCCCATGGACCACATCACACCAGGCCCTCCTGTCTTCTTAAAAATATTAATACACACATTAATCAAAGGTGAATAAACGTTAAGTGGTATTAAAGAAACAACACGTTGTAAAGGCACAAACCCCGATTTTCACCCTAGTCTAATGAAGGAAAACTATATTAAGCTATTGGAACAAACACTAAGATCCAATAAGCTTTTTTTTAAAAAAGAAAAAGTCTGAATACAGTAGAAGAAACAGAACAAAAATGGGAGTGTGTAGACATGATGCAAAATGAAGACAAGAACCCAAGAGTTTAACTTTTGCTGGATTCTGTTTCATTAATTGTTACGGCAACTAGTCATTCATAATGAAACTCCCAAGTTTCTGATTTGGGAGTCCACCCTAACAGGAAGTAGAACAGGATCCCTAGAGAAGCATCAAATAAGTTGATAAACCAGCTAGTCAGGAGCCTCTTTTGCCCAGTAAGTGTTCTCTTAGAGTCCATTCCAGATTAAGGAAACGCAATATGTTTAGCAACTCCATGTTACTCTGAAGCTTTTCAAAAGAATACGACAATTTCAAACTATCACATAGACACCAGTCAAGAGCAGCTAACCTCCTCTACTGACTTCAAACTGGACCACTTTGCCCAAAATCTCAACTTGCCCAAAATGCAAAACTGCCCTCACCAAAAGCACGCAAGCAGACACATGCACATGGATCTGGGTTAGAGTTCCACTTCCACCACTCTATTCGTTACCTGGGAATGGTTTACCAATGCAGGATTAGGATGGCAAGCAAAGCCTTTGACAAGTGTTGGAAACATTTCTGGAACATACTTCAATTTAGCTTTGAAGACAGCAATAAATTCAGTGCAGTCCTGACAATGAAGTTTTTATCAGGACTTGTGTATGGGGACATTTCATTCGAATTTGGTGCTACCATAGATGCCTCCTAAGCATTTATAAAAGCAATATTTGAAACCTCTATTCCCCTTACTCTGGAGCTGAAAAAGAAGAGAAATTAAGAGACTTTCCCCCAATCCAACAGAGCAAGTGTATGCACGAACGAGGAACTCCACATCCTCAATGCTCATTTGAGGTCAGAGCCTGTACCCTTCCCCATGCTCCTAGAAACTGCAGCAAGCTGTCTCAATGCAGAGCTAAGGGCTTCCAAGAGATCAGCAGTCTCCCCCCCCAATCAATACTCTCGACTTTGCCTTCTTCCCCATTTGCATGCTTAAAAAACTCCAGATCTCAACAGGCAAACTGGGGCCATGCTGCCTATACCCCAGCGAATCACGGGCCATGCTGGCTCTCTCACTCATTTTAGAACAATTCCAGAGTGACGCAAAGAGCGCCTTCTGTTCTAAATTCAAAAGTTAGCCAAACAAGCAGCCTTGCCACAGGCCTCCTGTGTAACAGCAGATGCAGTGAACTGTATGATGAAAAGGGGGGAATATCTAAACTTGACTAGGGGGCAGGGTGGGGCATTCTACTCTATGGCAACTAAAGCAGTGGAAGTTGAGAGACAACAGGATTTGGAACAGTAGAAAGATTTGCACAGATTTACGGGTAGGTAGCACACAAAGTGAGTCATCACATAGCTATCCCGCTGCAGATTAATTGGCTCTGGAGTAAAGCCCTTTCTCCTCTGTTCAGATGGAAAGGCTTAACTTGTCAAACTTGCCGGGAGTATAAGCCATCCGCAATTAATTCCCAGCTGTAGGTGACACACAAGTATTGCACATTCAATTAGCCGGGAACCATTTGATGGAAGGAGTGATGTCAGGAGCAAGGGGGAGTAAGGTTTTTTGTCTGTAGCTGTCAAACACAGTGGAGAGAAATACTCCAGTGTTTATTTTAGGGCTTAACAAACCTCTCGAGCTTTCAGTACACCTCAGACCAACATATCCTTTCGGAGCTGCCTTGCTAGGATGGGACTAGGAGGGGAATAACGGCTTCTATTCAAGGTACATGGGAAGCACACTGAATTTTTCCTCTCTGCTCTAGGAATCCCTTCTAAATTACGGAAAGATGGAGGAGGAGAGGAGATTGGATTTATACCCCGCCCTTCACTACCCAGAGGAGTCTCAGAGCGGCTTACAAACTCCTTTCCCTTCCCCTCCCCACAACAGACACCCTGTGAGGTAGGT